TAAAGAAGTAAAGGTCAAAGTATAGTAAACATAATTCAAATAAAGATTGATTGATATCGATAATAATAAAGATTATCGTGAATTATCATGACATGATTGGTTGTGGTGGCTTAGATTTGTTACACCATAAAAGTTTAAATTTGAATTAGTTAAAATTTTAAGCATTACACAGGTTATGAATAAAATTTTAGGGTTTTATTTGAATAAACGAATGATTCAAATGAAAACAAATGGTTCAAATGAAAACAAATGGTTCAAATGAAAATAAATGTTTTGAATAAAAATTAATGGTACAAATGGTTTGAATGAAAACAAACTATTATTATTCAAATGAAAACGAATGGTTCGAATGAAAACAAATTATTATTATTCGAATGAAAACAAATGGTTCGAATGAAAACGAACTATTATTATTCGAATGAAAACGAATGGTTCGAATGAAAACGAGCTATTATTATTCGAATGAAAACGAATGGTTCGAATGAAAACGAACTATTATTATTCGAATGAAAACGAATGGTTCGAATGAAAACGAACTATTATTATTCGAATGAAAACGAACTATTATTATTTGAATGAAAACGAATGGTTTGAATGAAAACGAATGGTTCAAATGAAAACGAATTATTCGAATTAGTATTAGTATTAGTATTAGTATTATGAATAATTTGAATAAGAATTTGTATTACGAATATAAACTCCAAACATAGTCGATCATTTAGTTGATTTAATTGATCGTTTATTTGAATATTAATATATATTAATATTAGTTGATCAAAAAAATTTAGTCGATTATACTATTAGTTAGTTAACTAAGATAGTCGATGTCCAACCTCTAGGTTAATAAAATATGGCGAAACTATATTAAAATATTACTAGCAATTATAAAAATCAGCTATAGGCACTTTCAGCATTTCGGCACTTTCGGCACTTTCGGCACTTTCGGCACTTTCGGCATTTCGGCACTTTCGGCACTTTCGGCATTTCGGCGTTTCAGAACAATTTGCCGAAACTATTTCGGCAGTTTCGCATACGCCATTCTGCCGAAACTCCCTAGTTTCGGCAAGCAACCTTAATGCAAGCGGTTATAACCAACTTCTTGCAAAAAATTTATTACCTTTTATTAGCAAACTAAAAGAAGAAGATGATGGTGATGGTGTGTTTATTTTCCAAGAAGATAATGCAACATGTCATAAAGCAGCTGCAGCAGATAAATGGAAAGAAGAAAATCGCATTGTAGTTCTCCCTTGGCCTGCTCAAAGTCCAGACCTTAACCCTATTGAAAATTTATGGCAGGATTTAAAAAGAAGACTTAGAATGAGAAATATAAAACCAAAAAACAAGACAGAATTATTTAATTTATTAAAAGAGGAATGGTTTAATACTAAGCCAGAAAGAATTAATAAATTAATAGATAGTATGCCACGAAGAGTTGATGCTGTTTTAAAAAATAAAGGAAATCCGACAAGATATTAAATTTTTTTTAATAAACTACAATGTATTTTAAATAGTTTTATGTATCTTTTGATGCCTTTTATTTTTTAAACTAGTGAACAATTCAAGGTTAAACTTCTTTGTAAAAATTTCCACGTTTTATTATTTTTCTCAGCAATTAATTCACCAAATGTTCTATAAATTCGTAACCAACTAAATCCAAACATTGCAATCATTTTTTACTTATTCCATAAGAAACGTTAAAACTTGCCATTGTGGTCAATTTTTGAGATTAAGATTTTTTAAAAATTTTTGAAAATTTTTCATTTATCTTTTAAGGTTCATAGAACAATCAATTTTTATTTATATGCAATGAAACTTCAGTATGTTATAGAATTTGATATGAAAAAGGATTTCTGCTTAATAAATAGGATCGATTAGGTTAATAAAATATTTAGTTTTATTACGTTAAAGTCACTCGATTATTTTTGATGATCGACAAATATTTTTGTCCAGTGAGTGTATATATGACCTATTTCTTCGATACTAATACCTTACTACTACAAAACAAAACTTTCCTAGATAAAAACCATTAATTTTAGGAAGCCATCAGTCATTCATTACACGATGCATTTTTCCACATTCTTGAAATTTCTTTTCGTTATTTGTTTGTGTTTGTTGACATTGAACATTGAAGCACACAACCAACACTGCTATCATACCAAAACCACCACCAAGACCCGAACTAAGACAAAGACCAAATGCCGTAATACCAAAACAATCACCAAGACCAAGTTCAAGACAACCACTATAACTGTTCCCACCACAACCACGACCACCCGAACTGCTCGCACCATTACAACTGTTCCCACAGCAACAACAACAACCACAACCACCACAACTACAACTATTCCCACCACCATCACCGACACAATAACCACAACAACAACCACAACAGCCACGCCACCCACATGTGTGGCTAATGGTGAACGTTGTGACTTAGAGAATCCTGCGACTTGTTGCAATTTTGCATGTGGAACAGTTCTTACTGCAACTACATCAAGTTTTACGTGTTTTGGTTAGTTTAATTAATTAATTGGCAAAAAGATCAAATTTTATAATTCTATCTACCCATTTACGTTCTACATAAACTTGTCTAGTATCTGTCGTATAATGTATTGCATAGAAACATTGTTTTGCTGCCTCTCAATAAAAATATTTATTTTTTAACATAAAATTTGAATCTTGGTTAAGTGAATCATTAAAATTTGTTGTAAAGTCTCCACAACTCAAGTTGATGGTTGCATTTTAATAATATTCTAATAAATACAATCATTTCCTAGCGATTTCAAACAAGAATCGTGGTATGAAAATTAAATCGCAAAATTTATTTAAATTGGACCAAAATTTCTTGTTTGATAAACCTAAATGAGACGCGCATCTGATTGTTATATGCCGTATATTAATTTTAGTTTGTTTTTGTTTTTTAAAGAAAATTTCAATAGAAGCTCATCACTTGTAAGTTCGGTTCTTTTCTTGAGTAACTTTTTTTTTTTTGACAATAAATTTAATATAAGGTCATTATCATGTTTTCAATTACCCATTAGTAGTATTAGTAGTGGTAGTATTCCTTCTAGACAATTAAGCTACTGGATGGATATTCATCCGATAAATTAAATCTTTATTATTTATCTTTACATCATAGAATGACTGATAAAAAGCCAACGTGACTTTATCATAATTCTTTCTATGTTTGCATAAAGTAATAATAATACAATATGAAGCTCGCAATATTTTTCAGCCACTTTTTAAGGCTTTTAAAGTAATATCCGAAAAATAATCTCAAGTAAAAATATACATATGAAAATCATCAGATAATTTAAAGTATCTATATATGTGTTCTATTATCATATATAATAATAATAATAACAATGTTCATTTCGTCTGGTTTTGTTGCATATCCTATATATTAGAACCAAATGTCACTGGGCTTCATTGAGTCTGACGGTAATAGGGAATATAGTGTATTTCTTGCTTATTTTTATTTTTAGATACAATGATGATCTTCCAATTGTAATGTCATTATCTAGAAACCAATATTCAGTGGATTATACAAAAGTTATAGAGTAGAATTGTTAACGGAGGCCTGAGCTTGTGTGTCATGTAATTCAACCTCTTATATTGAATTCGAAAGTAAAGCCGATAGGTTTTACAATACTCAAAAAAAAAAAAATTTTTTTCAAGAAACTATTAAATCAAAAAGTGTAGTCCTAACCAAGCTTGCTTTATTTTTTATTAATACAATAAATTCATCAAGCTGTTCACTTGAAATTCTAGCTAGATGTGTTAGAACCATTCATAATGGACCTAGGATATGGTGCAAGATATAGAATGGGCCTTTCACGAAAACAAAAATTGTTATAGACAGACCATCTATTCCATTATTAGCATCCATGTTGACACACCTGATTGCATTGGAAGTATACATTTTTTTAAAGCTTTTATGATATATATATTTTGCTCATAATAATATCATACCTTGTATTTGCAGAAACAATTAGCATACATTTTGGCTGTTACTTTTTCACCATCAAGAAAGTCAAATTATATTCGAGAATTCCCAGTTTTTCCTCAATTAAAATTATTGATGAAGGGATATGTTTACTTAGATAAAGAAACCATCGGTTATGGAACTGCAAGAGCAGCTCAATATGGTACTGGAGAAATTGATAGAGTCATGAACATGATTTGAAATTGCAAATTGAATTTACACTTCCCTTCGTGTGCACACAACTGTATGTGCCTTGACTACAACCTGATGATGAATATTAACGCTTATTCTCTTTTGTACCGAATTAAAATAGTTATTTCAGTTGTTGGACAAAAGTTTCTTGGGTGAACGCGTCAATAAATTTACATTTCAACAAAGTTTTATCGATGATTCCAAGACATACCAAATTTAAAACTATATTTGAAAGAAAACAAGTGCAGGTCACGTTATGGATGTTGTGAAAAGATTCTATGTTACAGGATTGAATAAAGCTCAATGTTATGGAGTGGTGAAAGGTTTTCAATTTTTGATAATAAATCTAGTTTAAAGGGTAATTTTAAGAAATAAAATTTTCTTTTTGAAGTTTTCTAGTACTGGTGTTTTAAAGGTCCAAGAGGTTGTTAATGGACCTTTCCATGAGTTCGATCCGTTGAAAACTCTCATATTTGTCAGAGATGAATTCAAAGATGTTACTTTGTACAAAACCAGTACGTAGTGCTGTTGGTTGAATAATCTATATGTTCGATTTAATAACAATCCATGGCTGTAAGTTCAAAAGTCTGATCATCTATCCAGAAACAATTTTATTTATTATTGTTGTTCTTCTTTTTCTAATAATTTTCGTTTTTTTGACAAGTTTCCGTTGATTCTTGCTTACTATTATCATGTGCTTTACGTACGATACACGCAATAATTCTCATATTACAATATTTGACATTTGATTTTTGAATCGCATTTTTTTACTTGGCTTGAAGTGTTTTTCGAAAGTATTATTTAAAGAAATCCTGGTTCCTTAAAAGTGCAAATTATTACTTTGATTTATTTATTATTAATGTAATAGGAAGCTCAGAATGAGACTGGATTTTATTAATTACATTTGGATTCTTTATACAGTTCTCTTATGTTTAGATAATGGAGAATATATAATTATGAAGCAACAAATTTTATTACTATAATATATAAAGTGTATTTGATTGATCGATTAATAAAAAATATATATACACCATGAATAATAAATAATATAAATATGTATGAATAATACATTTTTGTTATGGAATTCTTAAGCCTTTTTCTCTATTTTTTTTTCCAAGACTCTATCACCTTCTTCTTCCCATTCTTGTTTGGTAATCCACCAAGATTCTTTATCTTTCATAATGTTAGCTAATACGGCACCGCCAAGAAATACCATATGTTTACGCCTTGGTGGATCTTCAATACGAATTTTTAATTTCTTTTTTTTTTTTTTTTTAAATAAATAAATAAATAATAATTTCAATCACATGATAATAAATAATGACAAATAAAAGTCAATTATTGTAAACATTGTCGTTAATTTCAACGCACCTTCAATCTCTCAGTGTCACCATCTGATATTCTTTGTAAATATATTTGTTTAAGCTCTTTTTCAAGTCTACTTGGTAGACCAGGATACATTGAAGAACCTCCCGATAATACTATATGTTTATATAACTCGGATCTAACATCAACAGGCGAGTCTTGTATTGACTCGAAAAGCATTTCTTTATATAATTAATTAATTATATATATATATTATTAGAGAATGAGGATGAAAAAACAAAATATTTAGAAAATAGTGTTTTCTTTACCTGCAACACCAGGTTTTTCAACGTCTACTAAATGTGGTTGAAACATGCATTCTGGTGCTTCGAACCTTTCAGACCCAACTTTAATCACTCTTCCATCTGGTAACTAGATAATATTTGAATAAACAAATCACATGAATAAAATAAATAAAGTGATGGAATCTATGCATACACATAAAAAAAATATTATCATCAATATCAAGATCAATATGAATGTTTGATTTCATACCGTGTAATTTTCTACAAGTACCGTAGTTTCAGTTGCTAATCTTTCATCCATTTTAACATCATAACTAAACAAAATCAAACAAAGAAGAATTCAATAATTATAACTTTAATTGTATGGATAAAAATGAAAGATATTCAAATATCATATTTATTCATTTACATATATATAAAATGATGAAATTTTACCTTACATAACAAAGTTTTTCTTTTATTTGTCTCACTGTTTCAAAATCGGCAGTTCTATTGAAAGCGTAACCTCTCAATAAAAGCAATTTTATTAGATATTTTGTTACATCTCTTCCTGCTACATCTAATCTACGAACTTGATGTGGAAGAGCATAACCATCAAAAATTGGAACTATATGAGTCACTCCATCACCAGAATCAATCACAACACCGCTCATAAGTCCTAGATATTTATATATTTATATTTAATATTAATAAATCTATATATGCTTATACATGTACATGCTGCTATATGCGCGCGCACACACCACACACACACACAAAATATGATGATACTTACCTTGAGCATAAAGAGTTAATACAGCTTGAATTTCAACATGGACACCTTGAAATCCGTAATTTTCAAACATCGTTTTTACCATTTCACGCCGATTATCTAATGGATTCATCGGAGGTTCTGTTAACAGAATCTTACATTCTTTTGGATCCACTTTCAATTTCTCGTAAAAAGTATAATCCCATAAATGTTTCATATCCTCCCATATCTTTATAATCCCATTTTCCATCGGATATGACATTTGCAACATAGAACGTAACTCAGCAGCTTCATCACCGACCATTATATTTTTCACCTCCACATTTCCA